ATACTGTTTATGGGGGCTAAATTTAAGGTATAAAGTGATCGCTTTGTTGTTTAGGGTCTGGGAGTTGCAGAGGAAACTGATTTCTTTTACACACTTTAAACAAACTTATTTACAACCAATAAGATCTTACACTATAAATGGTAAAATCCTTTTCCTTGGCAAGCCCCTGAAACAGCAATCTCAACAGTAGCAGTTAACGTATTTTTCAAAAGGCTCTCTTCCAATCAATTTACTTACTCTGCTTGACTGTTCAGCCTGTTAATCCAAATTTAAGCATTACCCCAAAGCTGGTTTACCATTGTAAAGTCCACTAAAATACTCCATTGAAACAACTCACTCAGGGGAAAAACACAAAGTGGCAAGCTGGGGACATAGTGGCTCTTTAAGAGGGATTTTAAAGTTTATGTCCCTGCCTTCTACCCAGCAGCTGTATTATCTCCAGTGGTAAGAGGCTCCTTCTGCTTAAACGAAGCCGTATCTCTAGTCTCTTTTAGCTCAGGCTCCACTTGCTAACCTTTCTTTCAGGGCTTTATTCTGTGTGTCTAAGGTTTTTCCACACTCAAGACTCTGGTATACATGATCTGGCTTATTTTTAGTTCAAAGACATCTTAGGGATGAGACTAGAATTCCAAGTGAGGTTCAAATTTGCAGTAACACTAGTGGCACAAGTACACAACTTGGGGCTGCCAAGAGTGGATCTTTAAAATGTCTTAGAGCTGTTGAGTAACACTACCAACTCCTTATTTTATAAAGGTATCAAGTGAGACACAGAGAAATTTAGTTTCTTCTCAGTATGTGACTTATATTTCAAGATGCAGTTCAGCCATCCACTCAGAAGTCTTCCCTGACCATTCTCCACTGTCATCAACACCAAATATTTACTGAGTGTCTGTTACATGCCAGTCCCTGTTCTAGGTACTTGGGATTCACCAGTATACAATGGAGACAAAAATCGCTGCCCTGGAGCAGCTTACATTCTAGCACGGGAAACAGGCTACAAACAGTGAGTATAATATATGTTGAAGGCAGTGAGTTCTGGAGAAGAACAAACAGGGTCATGGGGATCAGGAGTAGGCATTCCCTAAATGGGAGCTGGTTGAGTTTGTGATTTTTAAATAGTTGAGTAGACCTCATTGAGAAGGTGACAGTTGGCACAAACTTAAAGGAGGTGAGGAAGTTACCCATGAAAGTACCTGGGGAAGAGTATGCCAGGTAGGGGGACCACACATGCAAATGCTCTTGGGCAGAACCATGCTTGTCTGTGGTGAGCTCAAGAAACAGTGAGCAAGCCAAAGGGGACCTCAGAGGTGGAGGGGAACTGGTCATGCAGAGCACTCAGGACAACCATAGGGGCTTTGGCCACTGCAGAGTTCTAGCAGAAGAGTGTGTCAAAGTCAAAACATAGAGACAACCATCTGAAATTAATACATTTTATTTGAAAAGAAAGAATTGCAACTTGGGACATACATGCAGACTGGATGGTTTTCGGTATGTCTGCAGAACAAAAAGACACTTAGAGGTTTTATTTTTAAAAGAGAAACATTATGTTTTGCTCTCAGAAAGTTCATTGGCACTAGTAAGGTTTTGACAAGCTGATAAGTTTTGATTGATAAGTGACAGCAATGGGTCAAACTATTCTTAGAGTTTCAGGAGATTGTTTTAGTATCTATAGATATGACTGGTTTCAAATTATAGCAGGTAGCGTCAGCAGCCAGGCTTGCAGAGAATTATATTCTTGGAGCAATGTTTCATGTCCTGAGTGCTTTTCCTTTGCCCTCTCAAATCTGTTTTAATTGGGTATAACAAGAATGACCCAAATGGTATGATCGACTTTCACAAGTGACATGATTAAACTTTTTCTGATTTCCAAGGTCTGGCTGCTGTGTTGAGAAGAGAACGTGGTGGACATATATAGAAACATGGAAACCTGATAGGGCTAATGCAATAACTCAGAGAAGAGGTGATGGCAGCTTAGACCTGTTGGTAGCAATAGAGTCGTAAGAGGTGATTTCATTCTGGCTATGTTTTAAAAATAGAACTGACAGGATTAACTGAGAGATTGGATGGATTTTAAGTGAAAGAATGTCTCTGAGGGTTTTGTTTTATTTTCCCAAACTACAATGATGAGGATTTTTTCAAGTCCAAGCAACATACTTACACACATATTCCAACTCATCACATTGTGTCACAGTTTTTTTTTCTATCTCTTTTACTTTGTGCTGAGGGCAGACCTTGTGCTGTACATTCCCAATGCCTACTGGAGCATTCAATAAATATGTGTTGAGTAAATGAACATTAAATGTGGCAGATGTGAATTCACATTGGACCCAACACTGTCCTTATCATCACCCTCCTAAGATACCTTTTACCTCAAGTATGAAAGTCCATTTGCTGATCTCTGCAGAGAGCCTGAATCAGGTCCCCAATCTAAGAGTTCAGGCTCCACTTGCTAACCTTTCTTTCAGGGCTTTATTCATTTTATATTACTGTGAGTGATATTGTGATTTTATATATATATATATATATATATTTGGTCTTTATTCCTGTTTCCTGGCATACAGCTCCTAAAATCCTTGGAATCTCCAGAGTAATTGATAAGAATGCCTTTTGTATGCTAATGAGATAACTGGAGGCCCCTAGGATGGGGACTAGCAACAGGAAAGACCAGGGCATGATTAAACTTTCAGCCCTACTTCCCAGCTTCCAGGGAGGAGAAAGGACCTGAAGGTTAATTTGATCACCAATGGCCAATGATGTAATCAGCCATGCCTATGTAATGAAGCTCCCTTAAAAACACAAAAGGATTGAGTTTGAATGAGCTTCTGGATAGCTAAACATGTGGAAGTTCCTGGAGGGTGGTGGTCCTGAACTGCATATGGAAGCTCCATGCCCTTTTCTATATGCCTTACATTATCCATCTCTTCCACCTGCCTGTTTAACTATATCCTTTGTAATATCCTTTATAATAAGTGGGTAAAAGCAAGTAAAGCGTTTCTCTGAGTTCTGTGAGCCTCTCTAGAAAACTAATCAAAGCTGAGGAGGAGTTTGTGGGAATTCCTGATTTATAGCCAGTTCTTCAGAAGTATGGGTGACAACCTATTTGTGATTGGCACTGGAAGTAGGAGGAAGTCTTGTGGGACCAAGCCCTAAACCCGTGGGACCTGATTCTATATCTAGGTAGGTAAGTGTCAAAATTTAATTGAATTAGAAGACACCCAGCTATTGTCTGCTGCAGAATTGATTGGTGTATAGGAAAAAGGTCTCCCTGATCCCAATTCTGGTGTCAGAATGTTGAATGCATTGTTTGGTGACCAGAGGTAGTCTGTATTGAGAGTTAAAGTGGGGAAAATGTCAGTTTTTCCCCATATCTTATACCGTGCAACAGATCACCATAATCGTAGCCACTTAAAACAATACACATTTATTATCTCACATTTTCCATGAGTCAAGAATCCAAGCACAATTAAGTTGGGTCCTCTGTTATAATCTCACAAGACTGCAATCAAGGAGCAAGGCTGTGTTTTCATATGGAGGCTCAAATGGGAAATAATATGCTTTCAAGCTCATTCAGATTGTGGGCAGAGTTAATTTCCTTGTGGTTTTAGGACTAAGGGTTTCAGATTTTTGCTGGTTGTTGGCTGGAGGCCTTTCCTAGAGGCCACTGCAGTTCTTTGTTCTGTGAGTTTCTCCAGCATGTCCACTTCATCAAGCTACAGGAGACTCTTTAACTTGCTAAGAAATTTTATATACATAGTGATATGGTTTGGCTATGTCCCCACCCAAATCTTGAATTGTAGCTCCCCAAATTCCCACATGTCATGGAAGGGACCCAGAGGGAGGCAATTGAATCATGAGGGTGGGTCTTTCCCGTGTTGTTCTTGTGATAGTGAATATGTCTCACAAGATCTGATGGTCTATTTAAGGGGAGTTCCCCTGCACAGGCTCTCTTGCCTGCTGCTATGTAAGATGTGCCTTTGCTCCTCCTTTGACTTTTGCCATGATTGTGAGGTCTCCCTAGTTACATGAAACTGTGAGTCAATTAAACTTCCTTTCTTTGTAAATTACCCAGTCTCAGGTTTGTCTTTATTAGCAGTGTGAGAACAGATTAATATACATAGTAATCACAGGAGTGACATCATCATCACCTTTGCTTTATTATATTAGTTAGAAGCAAGTCACATGTCCCACTCACCCTCAAGGGGAGGGGATTACTCAAAGGGCTGAACGCCAGGAGGTGGAAGTCATGGTGGGTGGGGGGTGTCAAAATTACTTTCATCATTAGAAATGTGTTTGTTTGTTTCTTATCCCAACAATTTTGACTCTATGTTAGTTCCGGGATGGCATGACGTCCTGACCTGTGCTGTCCAATATGGTAACCAGTGGTCCCAGGCATGGTTAGTGTGTCTGAAGAACTGAGTTTTTAATTTTTAAAACATTTTAATGAATTTAAATTTAATCTAAAAACTGGTACTCCAGTTATTGGAAAAATATTTGTGTGTTTAGAACAGCTTGTATATGAATCTACTTTTTCAGCTATACATTTTATGAAATCTAGACACTGACAAGTATCTCCATTGAAATTTCGTTCAAATTGAGATGTGCTGTTAACTGTAAAATATACACCAGGTTTCAAAAACTTGGCATGAAGAAAGAAAGCTTCTCCTTAATAATTTAAAAAAGAGTTACATGTGGAAATAACATCCTGTATATATTGGGATAAGTAAATATATTATTAAAAACAATTTAATGTTTTTGTTTTTATTTTTTTAAAAAACAGGTTACCAGAAAATTTAAAGTTACACAAATGGTTCGCATTCTATTGCTGAAAGAAAATAGAAAGCGGTGAAGAGCTTAGAGTTGGGTTAGCAAGACACGCCCCCAATGGTTAGCTAAAGATGTAAGGCATCAACGAGAAATGTTGTGGGGGCTCAGGAGAAGGGAAGGTGGGGTCATCCACGGTCTGAGAAAGTCTTCAATTGAATGGACGAGACTATTAGCGAGTGTCGAGAGAACCAATGTCTCGCTGGCTGCGCTGGGAATGCCCCACGACCTTGGCCTCATTTTCGCTCCGCGCCTCGCCCTTGAACGCGCGGCGCCTTTTGACCCCGCCGCCGCGCCGTAGACCGCGCAGCACGGCGGTGGCTGCCATGGCGGATGTGTCCGAAAGGACGCTGCAGTTGTCAGTGCTAGTAGCCTTTGCCTCTGGAGTACTCCTGGGCTGGCAGGCGAACCGACTGCGGAGGCGCTACTTGGACTGGAGGAAACGGAGGCTGCAGGACAAGCTGGCGGCGACGCAGAAGAAGCTGGACCTGGCCTGAGACTCCGCGCCTTCCGCCTCATTCGATCCCTCGCTTGGCCACCTTGCCATGTCCTCGCGGGAGCTCCTGCCAGAGCCAGGCTTGCCACACAGTCCCCGCCTGCCGTGGCGGGCTCTTCCCGGAGTGTTGGTGAGCAGTACACTGCAAAGGGAGACTTTGGGGTCGGACAGATACCATAGTATCAACTCTGGTCAGGTCGCAGAAGATGACTTGTTCTCACAGACACCAGAAGGTGGAAGAAGTTTTGTCTTCCCTAATAACTTGTTCTTTGGTGTCTTAGTTTAGTTAACTGGGTGTTTAATGAGAATGTCTCACCAACGTGCTATGTCGCTTACCCCGACATTAAACATCAGTATGGAAAATACTGGAAAGAACAAAAGAAAAAAGGAACCAGGGAGGTGATCTTGCCACCTCCAGTTCTTTTCAGTAACATCCTTGGTAGCGCATCTTCGCCTTGGTGATTGTAAACTCCAAACTGAATTCTTAGGTTTTTGGCAGCCTAGTAAACTGGAAAGAGCAGTGGCCTGGAAGTCAGGAACCTTGCATCCAGTCTTAGCATTTTCAGAAGAGCTGTGCGTCATAAGTTTTCAGGACCTCAGTTTTCTTGTCTTTAACACCAGATCTTATGGTTCATGGTTTAATACCACAGTACAATTTGAAGTTACAGATCGTGTATTTCTAATTTTTTTCTCTTTTCTGTTTCCAACAGCTTGATAAAAATGGATATAGCCTGCTGGAAAGAAATGACTTCTTCTTGCACTTTATGAATCAGTTTTATTTTTGAAATAAAAAAATTAAACATCTTTGAAGCTTTTTTTTTTTTTTTAAATAAGGGGAAGTATGTTTTCATGGAATTTACTGCATCAAGTTATCTGCATTTTCAAAACTGACTTACTAGTGTTTTTGAGCAGATGAATTACATAACTTGTGCCCCTTCTTTTGTACAAGCACAGAGCAGACTCAGCTATGGGATCATTAAGGGTTCTTTTACCGAACTCGTTGGAAAGTAAGGGGATGTGTAAACGTAACTGAAGTAAGGGTGCTGTCTGTAAGACCTTTGAACTTCCAAGAGTAACAGTGTAGTCTCTGGCCCTGCTCAGGCCTGTAATCCCAGCACTTTGGGAGGTTGACGTGGGAAGATCACTTGAGCCCAGAATTTGGCAACATAGAGAGACTTAGTCTCTGCAAATAACTTACAAATTAGCTGGCTGTGGTGGTGCACACCTGTGGGCCCAGCTAATTTGTAATCCAGAGGCTGAGGCAGGAGGATCACCTGAGTCTAGGAGGTCAAGGTTGCAGTGAGCCATGATCTCACCACTACAATCCAGCCTGGGTGACAGAGCGAGACCTTGTCTCAACCCAAAACAAAACAGTGTATTCCAAGTACAGAGTATAAGTTTGGTTTTTTTTGTTTGTTTGTTTTGTTTTTGAGACAGTGTTTTGCTCCTGTTGCCCAGGCTGGAGTGCTGTGGCTCAATCTCAGTTCACTGCAACCTCTGCCTCCTGGGTTCAAGTGATTCTTCTGCCTCAGCATCCCAAGTAGCTGGGACTACAGGCATGTGCCACCATGCCCAGCTAATTTTTGTATTTTTAGTTGAAACGGGGTTTTACCATGTTGGTCAGGCTGGTCTTGAACACCTGACCTTAGGTGATCCATACCCTCGGCCTCTCGAAGTGCTGGGATTGCAGGCATGAGCCACTGTGCTTGGTCAGTGTATAATTTTTTATTGGGAAAATTCTCTTTTATATGTCATTATGGGATACACATGTGAAGGAGAAACCCTCCTGAACAGAGCTTAGTGATAAATCCTACCTATATATAAAAATCAAGAGTGAGTGCCTGGTTCTTTTGATTTGCAGGGAGTGTTTCTAGAACACCACCCTTGCTCATTCCTACAAAGATTAAAATTTCATGTCTCAACTCCATGTTAACGTAGGAAAGTTGTTTCCACATGAAGCACCTCCCCATTTTACTGGAGCTATTATGCCTTATTCCAACTTTGTTTTCATTTTGTGAATGTAGTAGTCAAGGACTGAAATGTTGGTTCGTAGAGCTCAGTCCTATCTGGGCTGCAGTTTGCTGAAGCTTCCTGGTGACCGCCTCTCGTTGAGGCTCCAAGAGCTGAGACTGAGGCAAGGTAGGTTCCTTGAGGGACATCTTACCCACAAATAAGCATGTGGGTTGTGACTGGCCTAATTCTGTTTGGCCCCATTTTTGTGCGATGTTCCTGGTGTACCTGGTCCTTCTAATGTTGATTCTTTCTCATTACTTATGTGTACTATCCTGACATAGTCATGCCCCTCTCCTGTCTCTTTTCTAGGTATACCTGCTTCTGGGCATGTGCTACTTCTGACTCCTGTCTATATCATTACGAGATCTCTAGCCATTCTGTGCCACTCCTAATTTTCTAGTTTTCTGCTTACTACCTTTTTATACTGTGACTGTACTCCCCAGTTCTGTAGTGGGCAGTTACCTTTAACGTTACCTCTGTACCTTTTCTACCTTTGCTCTACTTAAACATGGTAGTCTCCCTCCCCCTGCCCCCCACCAAAAAAAATACTATGGAGACAGTACTTCTCTTTTAGCTACAACTGGAAATGGAAAGTTGGGAGCCAGGAGTCAGTGCCAGTCATAACTTGAAAATGACACACTGTTGACTACATATTCCCCCACCTCCATTTGTCACTGCCATTTACTCATGACATCTACCTGTCTTGGCCCACTTTTACTTCCCTACCCTGCCTCCTTTTCTCCCCCCAAATGGGGTTCCCAGACCACCTGCTCTATCCCACATTGCTTCAGCCATACTCTGGACCTTGTCATCAGCAGGCATGAACTATGTTACATTGTAGTTGGTCTGTTTAGTCTCAGGAGGTACACCCACCTCATTAGGATAGCTGACATCCTCTATATCTCCTATAGAACTGCCCACTCTGGAAACTATTAGTTGTGTTACTCTTCCAGTTTACCTCATAAGGCATCCTGGGCTCCCTGGTCAGATTAGACTCCATCCTTGCTTGTACATTACCTTCACCATTGAACTTTAAAGAAAGACTTCACCTTTCTTACTTGGCTCACTACAAGTGGGTTCTACTGTGATGGTAATGTGTCTCATTTTTTAGCACCTGAGTTCCTTAAACTCCCAGTTTACTTGATACCTTTCATTCCTAGTAGATCAACCATATGAGAAGTTAAAGACCGTTAGCTGGGAATTCCTTGGTCTTTCTCAATAGTTTTGTCTAGGGCAGTGGTTTTCAACAGGGCTGCCCATTATAATCATCTGGGGAGTTTTAAAAATACTAATTCTTGCATGCCACTCTCCAGACATTTTGATTCATTTCATTTGTAATATGGACTGGGTTTTAGAATTTTTAAAGCTCTCCAGGTGATTGAGATGCTCAGGTGAGGTTGAAAACTGCTTTTGAAGCTCTGTCTCATTAAGTTTCCTTTACCAGGAGAGAAGACACTCAGGCCCCTTCCAAGGTTGTCTCTTTGGCTTCTGCAGAATTCTGCATCTCCCTCAGGACCTTCCTTGTTCTCCAGTACCTCATCTCTTTCTGGCATCTGCAGTCTTGCCCTGCTTTCTATTTATAAATGCACATTGTCTTTTTTTTTTTTCTTGAGACGGAGTCTCACTGTGTCCCCTAGGCTGGAGTGCAGTGGTGTAATGTCAGTTCACTGCACCCTCTGCCTCTTAGGTTCAAGCGATTCTTGTGCCTCAGCCTCCCTGAATAGCTGGGATTACAGGCACCTGCCACCATGCCTGGGTATCAAATGCACAGATTTTGACTTAAAGTTTCTTTTAGTTGATGCTGTCATTGGCCAATTAGAAGTGGTTCACTGTCACCTTCTTTCCAAATATTTTGCCCATTGGCCTGCTGTGATCTGCCCTCTGCACCTTCCAGAAACATTGATATCTACGGCTCTGAATTCTCACATTTTACCTCAAGAGTATATGATGCGGCCACTTTCTCCCTTGAAATTCTCCTTCCTTTGCTTCTGTAATACAAAAGTTTATTGAGTTTCCAAACTACTACTATTGCTGCCTTTCTCAAGTTCCTCAAACTTTCGTCCTTGGTTCTCTGCTCTGTCCTCTCCTGTGACTACCCTAGCCACTCTCTTGGCTTAACTAGCACATCCAAGCAGACCGCCCTCCATCTGATCCTTTTCTTCAATTCCAGCTTTACTCTTTCAGCTGTCTAGTGGACATATTCAATGCATGACCTTACTTTAGAACTCAGTGTATTTAATCATAAGCTGTTCATTTGGCAGGGAATTCTGTACACCAGGTAGCATTTCTGTGGTAAGTGGTTGATATAATTTTCATGTTTCTAGTCTATTACTGTAGCTTGGAAGCTCTTTGAGAGCAGTGTTAAACATCTTGTACCACAGGCCCAAACAGTGCCTTGCACTAAGGTGCTCGTATATATTTGTCATTTTTATTTGAGGTAGATTCTTTTCTTTCTTTCTTTCTTTTTTTTTTTTTTTTTGAGACAGAGTCTTACTCTGTTGCCCAGGCTGGAGTGCAGTGGCGCAATCTCAGCTTACTGCAATCTCCACCTCCCAGGTTCAAGCGATTCTCTTGCCCCAGCCTCTTGAGTAGCTGGGTTACAGGCACATTCCACCATGCCTGGTACCTGGCTACCTCTGTATTTTTGATAGAGATGAGGTTTCACCATGTTGGTCAGGCTGGTCTTGAACTCCTGGCCTCGGGTGATCTACCCCCCTCAGCTTCCCAAAGTGCTGGGATTACAGGTGTGAGCCACTGGGCCTGGCCTGGATTTTCTTTTAAGTGCCTGAAACTGCAAACCTTCTCTCTTCTCTTTGCTATAATCTTTTTGTTGATTCCGAGTCATCTGTTCCACTGCTTCTGTCTACATTATGAGTCTCTTGGAAGCTGTTAAATTCTTTTTCAGTATCTCCTGTGAGGAAGCAATACAAAATTGTTATTCATTTTAACACACTGATATAAATCATGATGAGTTTTATGAAATAGCTTGTTCTCATGAGAAACATTGGCCATGGTTTGCTTTAGTTTCTTTTGGCTACCTTACTGCAGATCTCTCTTGTTTTAGGTTATGTTGGTTTTTATAATGGCATCAAGGTATAACTACAGAGGAGCAATGACTAGTATTAATGTGACTGTCCTGAAATTACAGTCATTAGTGAAAAATCATTAGCTGAGTAATCACATCCTTTATAGCACAGTGAATACCTAAGTGGCACTTCTCAAACCCTAATGTGCACATGAAACACTGGGGTATTGTTAAAATATAGATAATGATTCTCTAGGACTGTGGTGTGGCCTGAGAATGTGCATTTCGAACAAGCTCCCAGGTGATGCTGATGCTGATCCAGGAATTGCAAGTAATGAATACTTGTAACTGGGACAATATGGTGCAGAAATGTATAAAGTCAAACATTTTCACATCTGAGGTGAATGAGTAATACACTCTTTTTTACCCTTCCTCATTGTTCAACTATTTGCACATATTTAGGGGGGTTTATTAGTTTATTTTTACCAACAGAGAATTAAACTGTATCCATGATGCTGTAACTTTTCCATCTAAAATATGGAAATCCCTAAAAATAAGTAGATACAGAATAATTTTTTTCTAATTTATAGACAGTGAAAATGAGAATTTCATAGTAGCTGATTTTTAGAGTAACTTTTGTTTTGCTCATCTCTTATCACCTGTAATTATTGATTTAATAATCCACTTAAAATATTTTATAGCATTTATTTTCTCATTTGTTATAAACATTTTTAATGGAAATCCTGTGTTTGGCTATTTAAGTGAACATTAATTGTCATGAGCCACAATAGGGAAATTAATTCAAAATAAGACATGAATTACAACAAAACAGACAATAGCAAATCTTGCCAAGGATATAAGGAACAAAAACTCATACACTGCTGATAGGGTATAAATTAGTACAACCATTTTGGGAAACCAGGCAGCATCTACTAAAACTGACATATAACATGCCCTATGACTCAGCAGTGGTATACATGTGTTTGCCAGATTTGCACCAGGATGTTCTTAGCAGCACTATACTAACCCTAAGCTAGAAACTGCCCACTTACCCAGCAACAGTAGAATCAATGAATATGTTAGGATATATCATATGTGAAATATCAGCCATTAGAATGAACAGACTACAGCCACACAATATAGATGCATCTCACAAATGTGATGTTTAAAGGACAGGAGGAGCCAGCGCACACTGCATAATTTCATTATATAGTACAAAAAAAGGCAGTATAAGTTTGTGCTCTTAGGATATTGTCTACCATTGGTATGTGGTGGGGAAGTGAGATGGTTGGGAGTTTCGGGGGGTGGGGGTAGGCAGACTAGAAACATAGGATGACTATTAGTGGGCAGATAAATGTTCTGTTTCATAATCTGGGTGCTGTTATGAGGTGGAGGGTTTTCAGAGCTGCACAATTAAGTCTGTACACTTTGTATATATTATACTTGAAAAAAGAACATAAATGATAGTTCAGCCTGGCCTGTGATCATACTGAAGAACATTCATTTATATTAATGGGGTCCATCATTTGAAGGTGAGCTCCAATCATTATCATTCTTATTCAAGTCCTATTTTGGTGTAGTAGTTTGGGAATTAGATTCATGGGATGCAATCCCATATGGGGAAACATGACAACCTTCCTGAGAGTTGATGTAAACTGGGAATGAGAACTAATAATTTGCTCATAGATTTGTTGTAGAACAGACAGAATTACTATCCTTACAGAATTCGGATGGACAACGTGCAATATTAGAACGCAATGGAACTTCAGTAGACTAAATGGCAAATAATTGAAAGCTGCCTTTTGAAGTGAGAGTATGCAACAGAACCATGTATCCCACAGGAAAGCTATCCTTGCAGTTAATGTAAGAGTTTAAGATGCTCCAATTGTATCTTAAGATAAGCTTACAAAATTGGTATCAGAAAGCAAATGCCGTAAAACAGTACCCCAGCAAGAAGGTGGTAGTATTACTGATGTATTGTGAGGAATGTAGTTTCAGACGCTGGGGGACGTTCCCCTATCCTTAGGAATTGGCGAGGAAAAATGACTCCCCCGGCCGTGACCTGCGTGGTGGCGTGGAATGCCCACCGCAAGAAACCATTTTGACACTTCCCGAGACCTGCCCGGACGGGGCGGGGCTGGGAGGCGGGCGCACGGCGATGGCGTCACCTTCCGGCGCCGCCGCTTGGTTTCCCTGGCAACTGGCGCGGTCGGGGTTAGGGAGATGCTTGCGAGGCGGCAGCGCGATCCTCTCCAGGCCCTGAGGCGCCGCAATCAGCAGCTGAAGCAACAGGTAGGATCAGGCTGTGTAGAGGGGCCTGGGGCGCGCACTACGCCTTCCTCACCGTGCCCCACCTAATCCTGGGAGCTTGCCCCCAACCCACTTACCTTCCCAGGTTGTAACGCTCCCTTACGCCTTAGCATTCCAGCACCAAACCCGGCTTCAAACCCCTCCTGCTCCCAACTCAACCGCCAGCCAACGGCGAAACCTCCCAAAATTAGTGAATATCAACTAAGCGCCCCTTCCTCCAATCGTCACTCCCACCTAACACCTCAGCATCCTACCCGAACAACTCAATAACTCATCTCCCAATCTAAACATATCAGTAACCATTTCCAATCCAACTCTGAGGCCAGTTCCTCTTCTCCATTTTCCAAGCCCATTTCCTTTGAGCCTTCAAGTGGAGATTATTATTGCCTCCATGAACTCAAGTGAAATAGGTGTCAAGGAATAGCCTTAATATGCAAGAACATTAAGATCTGACAAATGAGCAGAGGAGGTGAATGAGAGAAGAAATACAAGTAACTCAAACGAGGAATGTTAACTTCAAAGATAATCAAGTAATTGCAAAGGACATAAGGTATCACAAAAAGTTTTAAAAATCACAACAGTCTTGAGGAAGGTGTGATGAAGCAGGCATACTCACTGCTCCCGTGTATAAGGTGCCTGTACAGCCTTCGAGGAAAGCAGCTTAACAAGGTGTAACATACATGTATGCACTTAGGCTCAAAAATTACATTTCCAGGGATCTGCTATATATAATAATTAGAAAGTAGGACAGAGATTGATGTATAAAAATATTCACATTGTTGTAATTTGGATACAATTTAAATGATCAGTAATAGGGAAATGGAGAAATAATTTATGATGATATAATACTGTGATTACAATTTTTGTTAAAGGGTGTTTTAATGTGTTAAATATTTGTGACAAAATGTCAAGTTAAAAAAAGAATACAAATGGAAGGTACAGTATTTCAATGACTTTTTTCTATATATAATATACACAGAACAACCAAAAGGAAACATGCTGATATGGTATTTCTGTGTGACGGGATGCTGATGATTATTATGATTTTCTTTATTCTTTGTTATATTTATAAAATTTTTAGGCCAGATGTGGTGGCTCATGCCAGTAGTACCAGCTACTTGGGAGGCTGAGACAGGAGGATCACCTCAGCCCAGGAGTTCAAGACTAGCCTGGGCAACATAGCAAGACTTGGTCTCAAAAAAAAAAAATAACTTTAAAAATACATGGAATATTTATTGAAAATAAGAAAAAAGTAAATAGCAACCGGTGGGTTTATTTTCTGACATTTTTATTTTACTTTATTAATTTTAATTTTTTTCATGTGATTTATTACCAAGTAGTTTTTCACTGAGTAAAATTATTTTATAATCTTGGGCTGGTAAGAGATTCACTGATGCTCATATTTTGTCCATTTTTGTTCTCTTGTTTAAAAAGTAAAAAGGATTTGGGAGTTAAATATTTAGGTGACTATATTGGAATTAGAGTGGTGCAACAGAAGCTCAATACTCTTCTGGTAGAAATATAAAATAAAACTTGACGGGGCATTGACTTATGCTGAACTTTGGTGGACTCTTAATATGGTTCTGTGTTTTATTTTATTTTTAAATTTCAACTTTTATTTTAGAGTCGGGTTTTATGTGGAGGTCTGTCACATGGGAACAGTGTGTGATGCTGAGGTTTAGGGTACAGATGAGCCTGTCACACAAGCAGTGAGCATAGCACCCAATAGGCAGTCTTTCAGCCTTCATTCCTCTTCCTTCCACCCCACTCCATCTGTTCCCAGTGTTCATTACTCCCATCTTTATGTACATGTGTACTCGATGTTCAACTCCCATTTACAAGTGAGAACATGTGGTATTTGGTTTTCTGTTCCTATGTTAATTCACTTAGGACAGTGGCCTCCAGCTTCATCCATGTTACTGCAAAGGACATTATTTCATTCTTTTTTTATGGCTGCATAGTATTCCATGGTGTATATGTACCACATTTTCTTTATCCAGTCTACCATTAGTGGGTATCTAGGTTGATTCCATGTCTTTGCTATTGTGAGTAGTGCTGCAGGGAACATACACATGCATATGACATTTTGGTGGAATTACTTATTTTTCTTTGAATATATACCCAGGAATGGGATTGTTGAGTCAAATGGTCGTTCTATTTTAAGTTCTTTGGGAAATCTCCAAACTGCTTTCCACAGTGGCTGAACTAATTTTCATTCCCACTGATAGTGTATACGTGTCCTCTCTTCTTGTCAGCCTCACCAGAATCTGTCATGTCATTTCTTGATTTTTTAATAATAGCCATTTTGACCAGTGTGAGATGGTATTTCATTGAAGTTTTAATTTGCATTTCTCTGATGATCAGTCATGATGAGCTAATTTTAAATTTAGTGTGACATGAGGAGAACCAGGAAAAGTTTTAGAAGGAAACCATAAAAATGATTATTAAAACAAACTATTACAAAGATTATTTTCCCTGGAGAAATTTTGGCTCTGGAGGCTTTTGATACCTTGACTGTCTGGAAAGTGTATTTTTATAGTATTAGCTAATTCTTCCCGGTCTTCACAGAGGACACCTGAAGCAGAAAATGGAACAGATTTTCTATTCAGTGTCCATAGGACAAGTAATCAGCAGCCCCTCTGGGTCATGCCTGTGATGACTGGCTCTGTCACTGGGTGTGTGAATTTTGTAAATAACACTCGGATGCCAAATTGCAAGAGTAGAGAAGAAACTAGTGGAATTTTCTCTTTTTTTTCATCCACTTTATGTTCTCTATGTAACCTATAGAAAACAGACAAAAGAAGTATGTGCTTTTTTGGTTAGTATATTGACAAAGTTACATGTAGTGCTAGTAAACTTAAACTCCTAAGTCAAGATAAACAAAATCATAGTACATTCAATACAATAGATACCACTCAGTAATAAAAAGGAATGAACTAATGGTACACACAGCAATATGGAAGTATCTCAAAAACATGCTTTCTGGAAAGGTTACACAAGAGTGCTTACTATATGAGTTCATTTATATAAAATTTCAAGAGCAGGCAAAACTAATTTACATTGGAAGACATATCGAAACAGGTTTGTCTCTGGAGGAATGGGGTGGGGATTTACTGGCAAGGGCATGAGGGAACTTACTATGGTTACACAGATGTATGCATTTGTCAAAACTCAACAAATGTATGCCTCATCTTTGTGCATTTCACTATATGCATATTTTACATCAACTATTGAACTAGTTAGTGACACCCATAGTACATTATTTAGGGAGAAATGTATTGATAACTGTAACTTATTTTGAAATGCATAAGATTGATTGATGGATAGATAAGTAAATATAGTAAAATGTTAATGTTTTTTCTAGGTAGTGGGCATATGAGTATTCATTGTAAAATTTTTAAAACTTTGTTGTATGTCTAAAAGTGTTCATTGTAAAATATTGGATAAGAAGAGAAGTTTTCTTTCCTAAGGCAATATGGTATTTAACAATGTGATATCTTAAATGGTCTCCATAGGTTGATAGTTTGCTTTCTGAGAGCCAACTGAAAGAAGCTCTAGAACCCAATAAAAGACAAGATATTTATCAAAGGTAAAGTATGCTAAATTATATAAGCTTTCCAGGAACTACATTTACATTTCAATGAATGGTATTTAAGGCATAGAGATTGATCCTTTGGAATCAAATGGAAGAATCAGATAGTGTTATAACTTGAATCTAGAAGAAACCAACCTAAACCTGATGGTTGTGGACTTGCTGTTGTGACAGCAACTATAAAAACTGCTTAGTGTAAACATAGGTGACTTGGGCAGGATTACCCTGAATCCTTGGCCTATGTAGCCCAGATCCTGTGACCTGGTCAGAAACCTCTGTCTAGAAGCAGTTAGTCCTTGATTGGGATGTTGACTTTAACTCCTATGAGAAGACAAAACTGTTTTCTAGGTGGGTGCTTTTGTTTTGTATTTGTTTTTACTAAAAAAAAAAAAAAAAAAAAAATCCCTGGGAGAGTTTAAAATTAAGTAGACATGAAATAAATCAAATTTAGACTATTAATTTATAATATTTGTATTAAGTAGTTTAGGAAGGACATCATTAAGATAATCTTTGTTTTTGAGATATTTAAAGATTTTATAAAATTCCAAAGAATATGAGATTCATTCTGTTAATTTAAGTGAACTGTAATTGTTTGGAAAAGTTTTACTTAAGTCAGGCATACAGAGTGCTTAAAGGCAAAACAAATAAATTTTGAAATGTTAAGTGAATTTAATTTATAATTATTAGTAGGATTGTTTGAGGGATTTAGTTTAAGTTGAATTAACAGTAATGAAATAAAAGCAAAGGGCCGGGCGCGGTGGCTCATGCTTGTAATCCTAGTACTTTAGAAGGCCGAGGTGGGTGGATCACCTGAGGTCAGGAGTTTAAGACCAGCCTGGCCAACATGGTGGAACCACATCTTTAAAAAAAAAAAAAGAATAAAGAGAAAAGCAAAGGTTATTGTGTTTGCTTTACTAGATTTAAGAATAGAATAAGATGTATAGACTGAATTTGAAGTCCCAGGGAAAACTAGGTTTTAAAATTTTATGTTAGTAAACTAAAAATAATAATTATTATTGTTTTCTTTTTTGAGACCGAGTCTCACTCTGTAACCCAGGCTGGAGAGCAGTGGAACAGTCTTGGCTCACTGCAATCTCCTCCTCCCAGGTTCAAGCGATTCTCCTGCCTCAGGCTCCTGAGTAACTGGGATTACTGGCATGTGCCACCACACCTGTCTAATTTTTGTATTTTGAGTAGAGTTGGGATTTCACCATGTTGCCCAGGCTGGTCTTGAACTCCTGACCTCAACTGATCCCGCAGCCTTGGCCTCCCAAAATTCTGGGATTATAGACGTGAGCCACTGTGCTCAGCCTAATAATTATTTTTAAGCCCAAGTAACTATAGTCTTCCCTGTGCATGAAAAGATAATCGTTGCTGTCATTTAAAAACTCACTTTGACATTTGCATGTCTGAAAATGTCATTTAGGTGTCATTTTTATCTGCTCAACACTCTGAGGTTTTTCAGTTTGAAAACTCATGTCTCATGAACTCTGGAAGATTTTATTTTACAAAAAGATTATTTCATTACTTCCGTTTGTCTGTTTCTTCCTGAAACACGTTTGAGTCAGGTATTGAATATCCTGGTCTGATCCTCTAGATCCCATAGCTTTCTGATAATAGTTTTTGTTTCTTTGTCTGTTTGTTTACACCTGGGAGGTGTTTTTTTGGGGGGGGTGAGGAGGGGTGCCACTCTGTTGTCCAGGCTGTAGTACAGTGGCACAATCATGGCTCACTGCAACTTCTGCCTCCCAGGCTAAAGAGAGATGCCCCTCTCCCCCGCCATGAGCTACCATGCTGGCAGTTCTCTTGACTTTAACACTTTTCTTTATTATCTATTTCAACAGCCATATTGTTTTATTTCAGCAGTCATACTGTTTGTTTTTGTTTTTGTTTTTTTTTTTGAGATGGAGTCTCACTATGTTGCCCAGGCTGGAATGCAATGGCGCGATCTTGGCTCACTGCAACCTCTGCCTCCTGGGTTCAAGCAATTCTCCTGCCTCAGCCTACTGAATAGTTGGGATTATAGGCACATGCCACCACACCCAGCTAATTTTTTTGTATTTTTAGTAGAGATGGGGTTTCATCATGTTGACCAGGCTGGCCTCGAACTCCTGACCCCAGGTGATCCACCTGCCTTGGCCTCCGAAAGTGCTGGAATTACAGGTGTGAGCCACTGTGCCTGGCTAGCAGTCACATTGTTAATTTACAAGTGTTTTCTCTTGTTCCTGAATTGTTCTTGTTTCATGGCATCATGTTCTTGTTTTCATTTTGATTGCCTTCTTACTACTTCCATGACTAGGAAACTTTTTTTTCTTAAGTTCTCTTCTGTTCTCTGAATTGTCTTTGCTTTCTCTGGGTTCTGATTCTTTTAAATTGGTTAATTAATTAATTTATCTGTGGTTATTCTTAAATTTTACCTTTCATGTTGCTGGTTTTCTTTATTAGGTCTGACTTATCTATCTTCACTTAAGAATGAAGGACTAGGTTGATTATTGCAGAGAACTCTCATGGGTTCTTTCCTGCTAGTACTATCCCCTGAATAAGAATGAAGTTCTGTACATTGACAGGACTTTTCAGAGGCTGGGAAGTAGCTTTTAGTCTGAGGAGCCCCCAGTGCCAGAATAGGGTGGGCTTTAACCCTGGTGTATGAGAAACTTCTTTAGCAACCATGATTCTCTTCAGGTCATTTGTTAATTGTTTTTGTTTGTTGTTTTTTGTTTTTAGGGAAGAATCCCCTGGTAAAGAGGGAGAGCAGAGAAGGGAAAGGGGAGCTAACTGGCTCAGGTTTTCTATAAATAGACTTTTAAAAGTCATAAGACTTATTATAAAAGAGCCCCAACTAAGTCTAAACTTAATCAGTATCATTACTCTTCCCTTGAATAAAATGAAGACCTTAGATTGCTTTAACATTTATTTCCCTCTTCAAAGCTTAGATGTATGCGTATAATTTAATTTACACAATATAACACAATATTATATAATGTATAAAGTAAACCCCAGCCGCTGTGCATGTCTTTTCATCTGCAAAATTTCATAATGTATCCCTCTATGATTTAGTTTAGTTAACCTTTGATTCATTATGTCTGCTGACTCAAGTCCTGGAGTTTTCTGCCTGGCAGATTATCTCCCTCTTATGCCTGTGTGGCATCTTCCTCACTTTACAGGAGAACATGCTTCCAGCCTTTTTCCATGGAGCAGAAATTTATTGAAATCTCTTGCTGGCTAGTTGTCCCTCTTTCATTCTTTTCAGTGTTCAGGGTTTGCTACCAAATGTAATCATTTTTTGTGGGGTTTCAGTAGGCAGTGAAGATGAATGTGTGCTTAGTTTGTATCCTGAACCAGGAGTCTTAAAATATCAACTGTTTGAGGATTTTAACAATTATATAGTTATAAAGGAAGTAATTGTAATAAATAATTTATTTTCTTGGTACATTATATTGAAATAGTTTTTCACTCTGGCCTTTAAGTGAAATTTCTAAGTTTTAGTAAAGATTTTTTTGGTCAAGTAATATGACAGATGTCAAAATAAATTGCTTTACTGTTAGTCTCATTTGACAAAACCTTGCAGCTAGGTTCTCTCAGGGTGGCTTCATGGCCTATGATATCCTCAAAGACCAGCCCTTGCTGTTGTTCCACTCTGCCATCCTTTGCTTGTTGGTGATGTCTCTCCTTACGGTTACAAAGTCCATACCCTCAGTATCTAAGAGCAGATGTGGGAGGGATTCTTTTCATGCCTGGTAAGGGAGAATAAAATGAGAGGCAATCCCAACATATTTGTTTTGTGTTACACTGGCAGCCCTGGGTCCCCTGCCCACCTTAGAGGCTGAGAACATAGGTGCCAATGGGAAGCTGACTGCGCAGAGACGAAGGGTGGGCGAGGGGCTTTTGGGGAGGTCACTGGCAGGGGCAGCCCCAGTTTGATGTTTCCCCTTCTCCTTTTCTACCCCTTTGACAAAGGACTTTTGTTCCCTTTAAAAATTTATTTATTTATTATTATTATTATTATTATTATTTTTTCTTCAACTTTTAAAAAGTTCAGGAATACATGTATAGCATGCGCAGGTTTGTTACATAGGTAAACATATACCATGCTAGTTTGCTGCACAGACCATCTTGTCACCTAGTTGTTAAGCCCAGCATCCATTAACTATTATTCCTGATGCTCTCCCTCCCCCAGTACCTCCCTCCTATAGGCCTGGGTGTATGTTGTTTCCCCCCATGTGTCCATGTGTTCTCATCATTCAGCTCCCACTTGTAAGTTAGAACATGCGGAGTTTGGTTTCCTGTCTCTGCATTAGTTTTGCTGAAGATAATGGCTTCCAACTCTATCCATGTCCCTGCAAAGGACATGATCTTGTGCCTTTTTATGGCCGCATAGTATTCCATGGTGTATGTATACCACATTTTCTTTATAGAGTGTATTATTGATGTGCATTTAGGTTGATTCTGTGTCTTTGCTATTGTGAAATAGTGCTGCAGTGAACATATGTGTGCATGTGTCTTTTTTGGTAGAACAATTTATATTCCTTTGGATATATACTCAGTAATGGGATTGCTGGGTCAAATAGTGTTTCTGCCTCTAGGTCTTTGAGGAGTCACCACACTGTCTTCCACAGTGGTTGAACTAATTTACACTCCCACCAACAGTGTATAAGTGTTTCTTTTTCTCTGCAATCTTGCCAGCATCTGTTTTTTGACTTTTTAATAATCACCATTCTGACTAGCATGAGATGGTGTTTCATTGTGATTTTGATGAGCTTTTATTCATGTTTCTTGGCTGCATGTGTGTCTTTTGAGAGTGTTGATTCATGTTCTTTATTCACTTTTTAATGGAGTTGTTTCTTTTTTCTGATAAATTTGCTTATTTGTAGACTCTGGATATTATACCTTCATCAGATGGATAGATTGCAAATATTTTCTCCCATTCTTTAGGTTTTCTGTCTACTCTGATGATAGTTTCTGTTGCTGTGCAGAAGCTTTTTAGTTTGATGAGATTC